TTTATGTGTTTTGGAAAGTTCTCGAGGCGTGCTATAAGAACATGTAATGAAAAATTGGGAGTTTCATTTAAAAAATTCAAAGTGACCTTGTCCTGACCTTGACGACGCCACTCAGGGTCAAACCAATGTTATCATCTTATGTCCTCCTCAAAGCCCTACAACTTTTGTCTGAAATATTTTTTCCTAGTGTGCTTATTTTTCGAGATATTCGACTGGATGGATTAAAATGGTCCACCCTGTATATGTTTGTATAACGTCTGTAAGTTTTCTACACAGTCCGCGCAATCGAGACTTAGAAGTCGCGAGTCGAGGCGTAGAAAATTTTTCTTCGCGTTGAAAATTTTAAGAACTAGACTATTCGGATAGAACGAAATCTCAATGCGACCGCGTCGTACGCTCGGAGCAAAGACACGCTGTTTCTCCTCGTAGCGCAAGCATGTGGCGAGGCATACGTACAAGCCATAGTTTCTAAGTTACCGTACGCCGTTAGCGCGATCGAGGTTTGGAAGTCGCGAGTCGAGGCGTAGAAAATTTTAAGAACGCGAGGACTCGCACAGAACGAAATCTCAACGCGACCGTCGTACCGCTCGGAGCGGAGACACGCTGTTCCTCCTCGTAACGCAAGCATGTAGCGAGGCATACGTCCTAGCCAAATTGTAGACATGAGGAGATATGTTTAATATAGTATATAGAATTTTATTATTTTTAAATAATTTGCATATGTTTTCAACAATTTTTAAACTATTATAACAAATTCATTATGTATTTTAAACATTTTTGACTAATTAATTAAATTAAATGCAAAGTAGAGTAATAAAAAACACGTTATGACACGATACAAGTGTCTGAAGTGCCTCGCGCCAGTCTCGGTCGTGCCGACCCTGACCGCGCGAATTCCACGCGCGTCCATTTGTAAACTTAAATAGCTTACCGTTCAAATTCTATTCATCGGATCGCGTTTTGGTAAAGAACTTTTCGTTTTAGAATTTCACAGAGAATACGCTGGTACCTGGCGCTAAATTCGCCAATTCTGGGACACCCTTATATATGTGTAGGAGCCGGCATCTACGTATTCCTCATGAAAAACTGAGTCGCAAATGTTAATAGCAAAATGTTGAGATGTCAATAATTTGTGAATGATGAGCTGTTGAAACCGTTCAACCACAAGGCATTAAGAGCGCGCCGTCAGGTGCGGCGCAGTCAAGCGGTCGACCAACGCGCGACGGATACCACTAAATGGTGCTAAATTCGATTCAGTTTTTCAAGAGGAATACGTAAATGCCGACTCCTTCGTGATGATCTGGATACCTTGTATATACTAAACAAATATAATAATTGATTTAAACTTTGTTTGAATGTTAAATTGGTTATTCCAACACATGTATTGTATTATCAATACCGATCCGATGCTGACTCTTCCGAACCGCTGAGTAAAAGAGGTCAGAAAGTTCCTGGCCATTGTCTGGCTGTTACTGGCAGCTCGTTCCGGCCTCGAAATCCTTTCTTTAGTCTCTCCGATTAACTGTGATAGAGGTGAGGCCGTTGCTCTCCTCAGTCTGACTATTGCCGGATGGCCTGAGATCGGAAGAATTCTACTATTCGCATCGCAGCAGAGATGTGATCGTTGCACGTCTCGGTCAGGCTTTTACTTGCTTAGCCGCTGCGATAAAACCTTCACGCCGCAGTTGAGCGTTGCGCGTCGTCCCGTAAGAATTGTTCGGCCGCGTCGGAAAATATGCACCGCGTGCGACTTGCAGATACCACCGCGTACACAAATCTTTGTCGGTATGACCCACCGGAATAATGTGATAACAATCATTGCGTAATACTAACATCAATAAAGCGACCGCATGTGTCCGTGATATAAAACAAGCAGTAAACCATTGAATAATCATAACGCTTCGAAAACTTACGCGCGGACGGCAATTATAATCGCTGAGCAATTACGCGTCGGCATTGTCATTTAAACTGTAATCTTAAGCGTAAATATAATTTTGTTCTAATAAGATCCCATCAAGTTTACTATTTGAATCACCCATGTCACCGGAACTCCCGTTCCTGGAACCGACTGACACGTATTCGTAAACGTCACCGTACGGGATAACACAGGTCGTTTTAATGGAATAAACAGAAATCTGTACAAACAATGAAATCGGCAGAGAATTATGTGTGATATTCAATTTCTAAAGTGTGTTCTGACTATACAATTCCAGACAAAAATGACTGAAATTTGAAATTGATGAAATTCTATGCTTTTATAAGTTAAGATGCACCATATATCATGTTCGTATCGTGTAAAAGACTTAAATAATGCCAGTTAATACGATATTTGACACTACAAATAAATATATTTGTATATTTTACAAATTTTGTGATTGTTGGCAAAAAACTTTTGAATGTGAATTTCATCTGAAATTAACTAAAAGAAACGAAAAAAACGACACATATTGATAACATTTAATGTACTCCACTTTAAGTTGGTACCCCTTGTGGTCTTGTAGTTGAATGCGAAGTTAGATGCTTACAGAATAACAGTGATAAGCGTTGCTTTATCAATTAATATCTTGATAACGAGTTAGTGAATCGATATGAACTTTTTTAGAAACATTGTTCAGTATTTTACTTATTCACAAACAAAATTTCAGAATATTGACAGTACTAGCTTTTTTATCATTTTGTTGATAAGTATAAATATGCTATTCTATAAGAACTCATACAAAATTAAAAGTTGAATAATTCGTGAACTAGTTAGAGAATTGACTTCAGGTTTTACACATATGTTAAGGTAATAAATAAAAACAATTCATTAAATTTTCAAGATATGTCAGTGCTAGAACGTTACAGTCAGTACATCACATAAGTAGGAATATGTTGCTATTCCATAAGAACTTATGCAAAATTAAAAGTTGATTAACTCGTGAATTAGTTAGAGAATCGATTTCAGATTTTGAACATGTGTTAAGGTAATAAATAGAAACAATTTCCTGGTTGAAAACATGGGGTGATATTTTTTCGCAATAAATTTTTTTACAGATTCGTCGAGATGGTTTGTATAGATGCAGGCTAGCATTTATTTGATGTCGCGGGAGAGGAATACTGAATACTCGTAAAATATTTAAAAATAAATATTTTTTAATGTAAAAATTTTGAATAAATATAATTTGTAACTGAATTACAAGTTTTTGTATTCGAATATATTACAACAAGATTATATCATCCGCGTAAGTCCGTCTATAAATCTTATTTTTTTCTAATTTCACTCCAGTAGGTATAGAATATTTCTACATGTACATAAAATAAGAAGAGGTAGAAATATAAGTATATAATATAACAAAAAATGTTAGTATTATTAAAAAATATTTTTGTGTGTTTACAGAATCTTGGCAACTGATTATCAAACGCATCAACATACCAGCTATTGTAAAAGTTAACGATACCGGTTACATTGTCCTTGATTGCGACTACGATTTCGAGAATACATCAAGCAAAGGTCTCGTCGTCAAGTGGTTTTTTAACACCAATCAATTGGTCTACCAATGGATTTACGGCAGATATCCTCAGGCGGACGAACCTGCTGCAAAATACGTCGATCTAACCTATAAAGCCAGCAATGATCCATATACCGAATACCGAGCTATAAAGTTGAATAAGCCAGGTGTTGATCTTACTGGCGAATATACATGCGTTATATCTACCTATGCAGATGAACAAACAGCAAATGCCTCAATGATAGTGTACTGTAAGTATTAATTTATATATATATATATATATATA